CTCCTACTCACTGGTATCATCTTGTTCTCTCCTTCCTTGTTCTTTCCCTACTTGTCCTGCTTCTCTGTTTGTTTATTCCCTTCTGTGTCCGCTCACTTCACAGGTCCATCTACCACATCCAGTGTGACATGTATGCTTACCAACTTTGTTCTAAAAAGAAAGGGGGACCTGCTGCACCCCCCCCTGCAGTGACCCTCAGGGCTAATGGCTGTTGCCATGGTCCCTGAGGTCCGGCGTGGGCAAGGAACCATGCGCGCAGGGGGAGAACAGCAAACTCCCTAAGATGCAGAGAAGCCGAATGCCTGTCAAGAAATAATGACCACCAGAAGCTGCCACAAAGATGATTAAAAGAAATGCTGACCACTTGGAACCTTATCTCGCTTTCTCAAGGCCCATAAACTTTATTCTGCTACAACTGTCTCTCTAAAATCTTTCCTTTTTCTGGTCATTGATTGCTAATTAAAAAACATACCTAATTTATGGGCCTCCCCGGTGGCGCAGCGGTTGAGCGCTGGGTTGCGAAGCTGCGCGCGGCCTCTGCGGCGCCGGTTCGATCCCCGGCTGCTCCCCGGCCACCAGAGGAGGGTCCCACATGGCGCGCAGACCTCTCCTGCCGCCCGCTGCTCCCCTCAGCAGTGTACTTCGGTCCTTCTGCCTGCTCTGCTCCCCGCTCTGGCTCTGGTGAATTCTCTCGCCCTCCCGCGCTTCTGACTGTACCCAGTGCATATATAAACAAAACAAACAAACAAACCAGCAAATAAATAAAGCATGCCTCTATAAAAAAAAAAAAAAACATACCTAATTTAATAATTAGGTTAATGCAAATGAAACATTACTAAACACTGTGTTATAATAGAATTGTTAGTTTAATAATCTTTCTATTATGTGCTTAACTTTAGTACCTTTGATATTAACTGCATTATAAAATAAATTCACCCATGACAATTAATTATGATAGTTAGTGCAACTAGAAAATAATTATATAGAACAGTAGAAAGAATTTATAGCCTGTCCAATTAGGAATGAGGCTAGATGTAACTTCGGACATAAATCACTGCCCTGTCAATTAAGCTAAATTTATGAGCAAACTGATCTCTTTGATGCTTTTAGAAAAACATATATATACTGACCACTAGCTTAATAAAGACGCACTCAGATTTACACTCTCTCTTGAAGTGTGTCTGTTTGTCATTTCTTTAACCGAATCCCTGACCACCCTGCGCAGTCTCTCAACCCTGAGACGGCCTCATTGCCTACTGCTGTGCTGGTCCGCGGCAGTTCTCATCATCAAACCTGTGCTCGTGGATCACCTCATGGGGGAGTTCACCCACCTTCTTCTTTTGCAGCTCACCAGCTGCGTGGACACTTACCCGGACAGGATTGGCAGGTTGATTTTACTCACCTCCCTACTCACAAAAAGGTTTAGTATCTGCTAACAATGGTTGATACAGTGACAGGTTGGGTCGAGCCCTTCCCTGCAGCTAGAGAAACGGCTCAGGTGGTAACCGAGGCCCTTCTTAACCACATTATCCCACGCTTTGGCCTTCCCAGCTCTATCCTATCTGACAACGGTCCAGCTTTTATCTCAAAGATTACTCAGCAGGTCTCCACGGCTCTGGGTATCACCTGGAAGCTTCACATTCCCCACCACCCGCAATCCTCAGGGAAGGTGGAGCCCGCCAATGGGCTAATCAAGGGTCACCTGACTGAACTCTCCTGAGAGCTCTGCGACTGCTCTGGGAACACGAAGACCTACACTTACCCAGTCCTGCCTTGAATCTCGATCTCCTCAACTGACCTTCCCCACCACTGCATCCGGGAGACCAAGTCCTGCTCAAATTGCTTCAGCCAAAGCCACGGCAGCCTCCAAGGACCAGTCCACACATGGTCATTCTCACCACACCTACAGCAGTAACACTTCTGGGACACCCATCCTGGCACCATCTCTCTTGGGTCAAACGTGCCCTCGAAGACAAACAGTATGCATGTCGTAACCTGGGTCCTACTAGGATGCGCATTTCCTGTCAGAATCTCCTGGAGCCCAGTGTCCTATGTATGGAAATTCAAAGTTAGGGAGACCTTTGTCTCAGGATCCACGGAGACTACCCACTTTGTAGGTACCGTGGAGTGCCCACAGGCCGGATGCACAGCACCCATCACTCACACCCTAACTCTTTCATTGATTACCAACCCTATGAACTCCTTGCTTCTTTTACCGTCAAACCTTAGATCACTGCAAGAATTCCTACAAAGAATATGGGGGGTGCCCTTATCCATCATGGACAGTGCACCTTCCAGACAAAGGCCAAATGTTCTCTCTGATCTGTCATAATACAGGTTTCAATATGAATTAAGTTAACTATCTTTTTCAGATCCTTGGGACCTACGCTGGGTACAGGGAGTCCAAGCCACAGGGTACACTGGCTGGCATTCCTCCCCAGTGGCAACATTGTCCATCTCAAGGGAATATGTCCCAAAACAAAATGCCACAGTCCAAGTCTCCCAGGACATCCTCCATTCAGAGCAAGTCCTACAAAATCAGCTAACATCATCAGAAAAGACTGAGACACCCTCAACCTGGGTTCATACAATCCAAAACACTCTACCCTTCCTGACTGACTCTTTTGGGACTAATACCTCCTCTTGTTTCCTCTGTGATTCCCTTCAGAGGCCTCTACTGGCAGCAGCTCCAATTAATCTCAATACCACTACGACAAAGATAACGGACACTGCTTGCCAAACTCCCCAACTCTCAGTCCCACTATGGGACTCCAATCACAGCTACCCCTGCCAGCAAACTGATGCCCTTGTCAGCTTTCATTCCTGCACTTCTAACATTTCAGTTAAAGGATGGATACCTCCTTAGAAAAAACCTCTGTGTCTTTAGCATCATTACAAAGACAGCTCCCCTCCCTGGCACAGGCCACTCCAAAACCGGCGGGCTCTGGACCTGTTAACAACTGATAAGGGGGCACCTGCCTGTTCTTCAGGGAAGAATGTTGTTATTGTATCAATGAATCAGAGATTGTAGAACAAAATGTGGAAGCCTTAATGAAACTACACAAAGACATGGAAAGGGAAAGTGGGGGCTCCAAGTCTCCACTGACATGGTTTCAAAATCCTATAGCCTCATGGCTCCTCCCACTGCGGGGCCAATACTAATGATAACTTTATTTTTTTCTTTTTGCTCCTCACCTCCTGAAATTCACACAGGCTCACATTCAGGAAATGTCTCCTACCACATTTAACCAACCCCTTCTCCACCCATATTCTCGCATCCCTGCAGAAGACCCTCATAACCAGGCCTGAGCCACCCCCTTGGCTCTCTGCCAGACCAGAGAGCAGTGATGAGGGAGGAGCACTGAGAGAAGGGGTTCATAAACAGGCTGGCCCAGGACAAAGAGGAGCGGCGAATGTGCGTGGCGGGGCAAGGGGTGGAATGTAGTTACGTCACAATCCCTGGGAACCATCCTTATGTCACATCAAGAGCTGGGTGCTTGATTTGTTGCCCCAGCCCCCCAGGACTAACCCCCTTTCAGGTTTCCCTTGTGCCCTCAGATTACCAACTTGAAGGGGACTCGAGACCATGGGACCCGACCCTGGGAGAGGGTTCAGGCTCGCTTGCTCTGTACTGTACCCCACCTTTAAACACTGAGCGCCTACAAAGCCTACGATTCCCTAGTAAACTTGAAGCATTGGCAACCACTCTGGGTGACACTGGGAAGAATTGTTTAGTTTGGTTTTGTGCGGGGTTTCTACTTCTCCACAGAGACTTTCCAATTTTTGTCTGACTTCTCCATCTCACATTCTAATTCCTTATGACCCTGGGGCCAGAGTGCCCCCCAATCAGTGCTCTTTGGAGTGATCTGTTTATCCTCTGTGGATCAGATCCCAGCAAACTGACCTTCCCAGTTGGGAATCTTCCCCCAGTCGTCTCAACATGGGTTGCTCTGCTCGCCACAGGATAAACAGGCGACTGAAGCATCAATTCTGCTTGAGTCTCTTGAGAAAAAAAGCCATCTGTGTTAATGTACATATGCTTACATATGTGAGATTGTAACAGATTGCTCTGAAATATGCCTGGCTGTCCCCCTGGCTATCCCCTCACTGCCTCCTGCCATCAGCATCCACTGGTGCAGGAGCTTGAGCAGCACGCCAGTTGGCAGCTACTGATTCATGGCATCCCAGAAGACTGAGTGAAAATTCCTAAACATTTTTTCTTTAAACCATGTTATCAGTCCATTTCTTCTGTCATTGGGAGGATGGGATGGGGGGACTACTCACAGCACCTGGTGGAGATGTTGGTGGCATGAAGTCAGATGGCAAATCTAACTTGTAAAGTGGGGTGTGAGTACAGAGGCTTGCCGTTCTCATGAGCCTCAACTCTCTTTTTCCTCTCCGCAGTTGAGAGACTACAAAGGAAAAACAGCTTGGGGTCTCCTGCAGGAGTTAAGAAAAAAAGAAGAAACATGGCAGTAGGCCAGAGACAACCACTTCCAGTGGTTGTGTAAGTCTTGCTCAGCCAGGCTTCCTGGGGGAGGGGTGCTCCAGGGGCAGCCGAGTGAGAAGTTAAGAGCATGGAAGAAGTGGGTAAGAACCCTGGGTCTGACTGCGGCCTCTCCGTAGCTCTGCTGGGGATCTGATTTGGGGCGACACTGTTTGAGCTCTTTGTCCACCTGTGAGTGAGGGTGCTACAGTTCTACTTGAATCTAGGCAGCATCCGTGAGATGATTGTGCATTCATCCCTTCGGGCGGGGCCTGGTGCGCAGTAAACCTTCAGTACAGGGCGTCGCTATGGACTTCTTGCTCTGGCAATTTCCCTCATCCCCAGCCTCAAGGGGAAGCCATTCAGTGAGGACACCCTCTCCCTTTAGGGCGGCACAGATTAGCCCCGGGTTCTTGGGATTAGGCGACCTCGGAGGTGGGAGTCCGTCTTTGCCACCTGCTTGCTGAGTGATCACAGGGAAAATCACATCCTTCCTGGGTCTCAGTTTCCTCACCTGGAAGATGATATTGTTGGGCCAGATCAGTGTCTTCCAGTCTGATTTGGTAGCTTTGATCCATCTCTTGGTTCACATTTCTTTCTGCCTCATGCAAGACGGAGAGTGGCCGTTTGGAAAGATGGCGCAGGCCCTGGTATGATCCGTCACCCTTGTCTCCGGCATCCATCGTCCAGAGCTGCTCTTTCTTTCTCTGACCTTCTTGTCTTCTCTAAACCGCTTTTCTCTTCCTCCCCTTGCCCTTGTTTTTCTCTTTTCACCTCCTGTAGATTCAGGACATTCTGCAGGTGCTGGTGTCCGACCTTAACCGCTCCAATGGGGTAGCGCTCCCCCAATTGGACAAGAGGAAGGTGAGGCCATGCCGAGACCCCCTCTCTGACTTGGCCTCTCCCAGCGTGCATGCCCGAGGCTTGTCTGGTTGGGGTACTTGGCCTCTGGCTGATTTTATGTTGCCATCATTAACCCTCGGTGTGTCCATGTCTGCTATTTCACCTGCTTGGTTGATTGTTGTTTTCCTTCCCGCACATCTTTATCATCTTGGAGAAGATACAATACACCGTGAAGGGTGAAAGGTCTTTTGGGAAGAGCTTCCAGAGCAGGGGTGTGAGATATGGGCCTTGCAAGCCTCCAGGGTGAATGCTCAGGGGCCCGTCCTACTGGGAGAGTGTCAATAACCCCCCCCCCCCACACACACACACACAGGGCTTGCCCTCTGGGCATGTCCCCCAAAGACCAACAGTGCACATAGTGGTTGCTTTTTCAAAGTGATGAATTCATTTTAGCTTAGGAGTGGGAAATGCAGGCTTAGGAGAAAGGGGGCTTTTGTTACAGGTGCAAGGGTTCAGGTGAGTTTTGTAGCAGAACTGCAAAGTACCTTAGGTTAACCAGAGATGAGTGACTGGGACATTTTGCCCTTTGTCTTTTAAAAATCAACTGGACACTTACCCGTCTCCCATGGGCCCTTGGCAGCAGACAATTTGCTAGGCAGCAAGGTGGGATGTGGCAACTGAGGGAGCAGTTGGTTCTGAAGGGTCTGGAGGCTGGAGGCCTCGGTGGCCTTTGAGACTGATGTGTAGAGGTGGGCAGTGTTCATCCATGTGGAGAGCGGGTGACGTGGGAGTCCCAGGCAGAGGGTGGGTGCAGGAGATGATCAGGGTTCGGAGCCCAGAGAGCGCTTGGCAAGAAGGTAAGTTGCCTGGGGTGCCCTGGGCTGGGGGATGACCTCGTCCTGATGTGGGAGGGGACAGCGAGCTCTGGGTCTCCAGCTGTATTGGGTGGCCCCTCATTGTTTCTTCTGTCTATCCAGGCCCATCAGAACATGGGGGTGACCGGCTCACTCCAAATGGAGCAGCACACCAAGAGCGAGCTGGCCACGAATCTCGGCCAGCTGAGGGAGAAGCTGGCAGAGCTGAAGGAGCTGGTAAGGCCTGCGCCAGCTGGGAAGGGCTCGGAGGCCTCTGGGAGGGAGGTCCTTAGGCCAGGACAGAGGTAGCTCCAACTCAGGGCTGGGGGACACCGGTGACCCTGCAGTCCTGCCAGGTCCGTGACCACCTGTGCCCTAGGCTCTGACATGAAGTGGTGGGTTCCTCGGGACTGCAGGTCACCTCCATGCTGGAGGCATGAGCCAGTAGGGGAGAGACGAGGAGACATGGAGACATCCTGGTTCCAGACTTGGCTCTTGGTCGCGCTTCACTGAACAGGGCTGAGCCTCAGCATCCTTCACTTCAGAGAGCACTAGGTCTGCTGCAGTGAAGGAAGGGGCCTGGGCAGGTGGCAAAGTCCCACAGTGCCTGCCTCAGGAAGAGGGGTCCGTGCCTGTCCCCAGCATCTGTGGCGCAGATCTGGGAGGTGCCTTGGTGGCGGGAGCCAGCAGCAGCGGTGGTCTCCACTCTGCTGCTCCAACACAAGTCCGTTGAGGCAGTTGCTCCTCAGAACTGCCCTTTTCTGCAGGCTTCCTGGGTTATGGGAAGGACCAATCAGGTGCAAGCTATGAGCTGATTGGTGCTAAGTGCCCCAGTCAGTCAAGAATGAAAAATGGTCCAGGGCCTCCCTGGTGGCCTAGGGGTTAAGTCTCGGCACCATCACCACTACTGCCTGAGTTTGATCCCTGGCCGGGATCTGACCCACAGGGCGCAGCAGACCTCTCCAGCCTTGCCAGCTACTCCCCTCAGCAGTGTGTTTCAGTCAGTCTGCCTGTTCTGCTCACTCTACACCTCTGGCCAATACCCCAGTTCTTCTGCACAAAAAAAGAAAAATGGTCCAACCAGACTTGATGTTGGGACACTCTGAAGAGTGATATAAGCCAGGGTTAGAGGGAGCTGAGGGGCTCTGTTCCAACCTCCAAAGAAAGAAGGGGAAGACTCTGTTCCTGGCCTCTGAAGAAAGGAGAACCAGAAGCTGAAAGAAGAAAAGCAGCATCCAGTAGCCAATCTCTGCAGGAGAAAGAGAGGATGAAGACCTCTGTCAGAGATGGGGCCTCCAGTTGGTGTCTGACATCACCTGATAGGAGCACCAAAGGCTCAGGGTCTCTGTCTGAAAGAGCTGTTTGTTGTTGGTGTTGTCCAGCAACTCACAAAGAGCTTTTAACCCTTGGTGTCTCTGACACCAGCTGGGATCCCAACTGAAAAGGGTAGTCACGGGGCATGAGGATGGGATGCCAGGATAGGCCTCAGTGGCACCCACCTGCCCGGGCTCTAAGACAAGAGAGCTGCCAAAAAGCCTCAAAGCCAAAACCAAGGGCTGTAGCAATACAGTACCCATATGATAGGGGCCTACAGGCTGGAGCCGAAGGAAGGATAGTGCCCAGTAGGGGACTCATCACTGTGGTTCTCAACGGTGTGCACAATTGCAAGAGACTTCAGGCTCTAGAAACAACCACCTTGGGGGCCTCCCCTGGTGGCGCAGTGGTTGAGCGTTGGGCTGCGAAGCTGCTTGCAGCCTCTACTGCCCGCAGCCTCTGCAGCCCGGTTCGATCCTGGCCACAGGTGAGGGTCCCACATGGCACAACAGTCCTCTCCTGCCACCCGCTGCTCCCCTCAGCAATGTACTTCGGTCCTTCTGCCTGTTCTGCTCCCTGCTCTGGCTCTGGTGAATTCTCTCACCCTCCCGCGCTTCTGACTATACCCAGTGCTTGTATAAATAAAATTAAAAAAAAAAAAAGAAGTTCTGTTTGCAGAACTTCTAACCTCTTGGAACCCCCTGTGCCCAGTAAGCAGGTGCTCTCAGAGACTCTGGTTCCCTTTAGGGCGGCAGGTGCCAGCACACCCGCAGAGGACCTTACACTACTTCAAAGGAAACAGGCACCCCCTGATCACTGCAGCACTATTTACAGTAGCCGAGCTGTAGAAGGGATGGTACATAGATAATAGGATACTACTCATCAAAAAACATAAACTCATGCCATCTGGGGCAACATGGATGGAGCTAATGGAAATAAGCTCAAAGGAGAAAGACAAATATATCACTTAGATATAGATATAGAAAAATTAAACAAAGGGCTAGTTTAAGCTATCCCTGGAGTCTCCCAGGTGGTGCCTGACTACTGGCTGGGGCTGCAGACCAGCCCAGACTTTCTGGCCTGGCAGATGGATGGTGGACTGACCCTCTCTAGTTTGCCATCAAACTCACTTGACGACAAAGCCTGACTCCAGCTGACTGAATCCCCCATTGTGTCTTGTTTCACCTGCACCACCACTGGGTCCCCAGCCTCTGCTGTTTGCTGGGTCTGAGATAGATCTTGTACTGGATGTTGCATGTAATTTTTTGTTTGTTTGTTTTTAAGAATCATTTTTTATTTATTTATGCATACAAGAACTGGGGTATAGGCCAGAGGTGCAGACGGTGCAGAGGATTCACCAGACACAGAGTAGGGAGCAGAATAGGCCGATCCACTGAAATCCACTGCTGAGGGGAGTAGTGGGTGAGACAGGAGAGGTCTGCTGCCCCATGTGTGTTGCTCCCTGGCCAGGGATCAAACTCAGTTCTAAGCAGTGATAGCACTCAGAGTTAAACCTTATGCCACCAGGGAGGCCCTGTTTTTTTTATTTTTTTACATCTTTTGATATTATTTAAAAGGATAGAAGCACTCCTACTGCTCTACTTTCATAATAAACATGCTCCTTCCTCCCAACCTTTGGCTCAGGTCGGGTTTACCCGTGTCTTTGTCACCTTTACTCAGTGTCCATCTCTCATGACAGAGCAAGCTCCATGTCTCCAGGGTCCTCTCTCTGCTCCCCATTGTGTCTACAGGGGAGGCAGCTTGGGGAGGCAGGAGCCAGCCAGGGAGAGGGATTCTGGGAAGTGAAGAGGAGGCAAATGCAGAGAACACTTGGGAGATGCTCCCTGGTTCACTGAGAAAAGCATTTCTCAAAGTGTGGTTGTGGAATCCTTGAAGTCACCCAGAGCCTGTCACAGGATCCACGAGGTCAAAACTATTTTCAAAATGTCACTTAGACACCATTGACTTTTTCACTATTTTGACATCTGCTGAGAGGTAAAACTTACTAAAAATGGAGCTTATATTACTAACTGCAGTTATTCTTCACAAGTACTTACCTCAGAAACACAACTCCAAGCCAGTTTCATTTCAAAGTGTCTTGGTTGAAGCATTAAAAATTATCTTCATCATTCTATCATCTTCGATTCACATTTTACAGCACCTGATGCGATGACACGCAAGTGAACACACCACACTCCTGCTGCGTTCCCAGTTATTATGTGCCAAGAAAATATTTGCATGTGATGAATTAGACTATTTTTCTTTTTTTGTAGGCAATACCACCTTCACATGAAGGAATGAATGACAAAATCTGTGGTTATCTGATTTGGTTAATTAGCAGACATTGTCCTGAAAATGAGTGTGTGCTCCTTTAAGAAAATCAACTGACACGGGCCTCCCTTGGTGGCACAGCTGTTGTGCGCTGGGCTGTGATCCCTGGCCACCAGCTAGGGTCCCACATGGCACTCAGACCTCTCTGGCTGCCCGCTGCTCCCCTCAGCAGTGTATTTCGTTGTTCTGCCTGTTCTGCTCCCCACTCTGGCTCTGGTGAATTATCTCACCTTTCCGTACTTCTGACTGTACCCAGTGCTTGTGTAAATAAATAAATAAATCTTTAAAAAAAAAAAAAAAAGAAAATCAACTGACAATTGATAACTGAGAGTAACTTCACC